AAGCTGACCGGTCTCTCTGAAGATCAGTATAATTTTGCACGATTTTCAGGGACATACCTTTGTAAATTGTGTATTTAATAACTTGCATATGAATTTAATAATTAACTTTAACTTGACTTTTATTTTGAAAGAACGCCTGTCACTGTGACAGTTCCTTTATCAAAGCCTGTATATCAGGCTGGCTGTTTTCATCTTTATCAGATGAAGAAAGTAAATCATCTACACCTTTGCTGGCCTGACACTGCCAGCTCATTTTCGTTTTTGATGGACTATTCCTTTACTACTGTTGTTTGTTCTTTTCAGACGATAGATTTTTTTAAAAACAATTTATAAACTTTTGAAATCACTACCTGATGCCCTGACTGAACTCAATCCTGGCATTAAATCTGCAAATATTTTATTCAGTTCTCTTAATAATAGCATTCTCTTGAGCTCAGCTTATACAGACATAATAATGCTTCTCTAGATAAATATATATAATGTATAAAGATACAGACATGTAGATTTCTTCTTCAATATTTTTATTGAAGAAAGAAAAGAGTGACGCGTTACATACAAAGAGAGTTAAAAATGCTCCTCTTGATTTTACAATTTGTCCCATAACCCACACCACAGTAAATCAATTAAAAAAATCAGTGATGAATAAACATAAATAAAAACAAATTCCAAAACAAAATCTCAAAGTTGTGATATTACAAACAGTGAGGAAATAATTGACATAGCCCATTGTGTCTGATTGCATTATCCGTTATCCAATGTGCACAGGCCTTTTAATTTCACTATTAATTTAAATTTGGGGAAGAGTTACGCCCTTTTCAAAATATGAGATCATTGGAGTCCATACTGAGTAAAAAGGGGTCAGCATCATCTCTTCACAGGTGTTGGGTCATTCATTTCTTAAACCATATTTGATCAAATTCAATTACATTTCATTGCATGAATCTGTCTTTTATGAATTGGGGCTACCTTACTGGATGGAAATCCTGCCCTCGATTAAACTGAGTTCATCCAATGAGTTATTTGGTTGAGTTTCGCTGCTTATTGCGCTTGAACGGTTTAAATCACTTGTTTTTAAATGCCCACCCCTCGAATGTCAGTCAGATTCACTTGGATAGTGGTGCAACAGAAAAACAATTAACTAGAATAACTCTACTTGGAACTGAAAATCTAAATTTGTTTCGATTTTTAAACAACAATTACTGTAAACTGACCACTGTTATTGAAAAACCGTAACAGCAGGAGATATTTCAACCTGAAGAGCTGGTTATGTGGTTGATACAGGCTACACTGTAAAGAGTTTTATGCAAGGATACATGCTTATGATAAACAACTTTAAAATATTTATAAATGATTCCAGTGTAATCCTCTGTTTGAAATGATCAGTCAAACCCACAAACAGCGGGTTTCATAAATTATTTTACCTGCTACCCATCAGTCCTCTCATCTGCGTAGACTAATCACTGTCACAATAAATAGCCCACAAATAAAAACCATCATCATCATCAAAATTAATGGATACGTTCACAGTAAACATCATGCACTCATTTCCTTAGCAGTTTTCCACAAAACAATTGTTAGACAAAATTACATTGTTTGATCTGGATTTAAAAACACGAAAGTTTCCATGGGATTCTGCAAATCTGCATGGCCTTTTTTCAAGTGACAAATGCTAATAAATTGATGCACATTTAACAGGTAAGTTTAAACACACTCACTCACACACACTCACACACACACACACTCTCTCACGCGCACACACACACACACACACACACACACACACACACATTCACACACACACAGTCTGGTCAGCTATCCTTGTGGGGACTCTCCATAGGCGTA